CATTGATCTTTTTATGAGTAATAATTTATATGGGATCAAATGGACAAGGTATGTTCTAAGGCAGTGAGTCCCATCATTGACTAAACAAATCCTAATGTGGAAACAGTTAAATCTTTGAGTTTTTTTCTTTTCTTTTTTTTTTTATTTAAAAAGATCTTTTAAAAATTTGTTTCATTTCGAATTATGAGTGTGGATATTAGTTAGTAGCATTTTAGCTTAAAAAAATATTAACTCAAAAATTTTCCAGCATTCTTTTACTGCTATGTGGATGGTAGATCTCTCTGCCTGCAATGCGACATGATAGTGCACGTTGGAGACAAAAGAACCCACCATAGATATCTCTTGCTAAGGCAGAGGATTAAGGTTTATGTACTTTTTCGTACTTTATAAAGCTCTCGTCACATGATGTACAGTTTCCAGGAGACGATCTTGGACCGACAAGGGATCCTGCCTAACAGCCGTTGAATTCGGGTGCAAGCCGAAAGGATTTCAGTCAATCGAGAAAATCAATACACGGAGATGATCGAGTCGGCTTTACGGATGGAAAATCAGATGCGAAAAATGGCTATAGATCAAGTGATAAGGATGGAGTCTGGTGGCATGTTTGATTTGAACTTGGAAGTCAAGTAGAATAACAACATGATTGTGACTGAAAAGGTTGTGACTGAAAATGCTCCATTAACATTTCTCAAGTAAGAGTCTCATCACCACTCAAAAAAAATGTTCTGAAAGTACAAAAATAACAACATTCGATGACCGCAGAATTAAATTTTCAAAAAGTTGGGTAAACACAATAAGTTCCAGGTTTTTTCGCCTGTCGTCAAGTCAAAATTATCCATGGATCTCCGAAATTTCAGAAAAGCTAAACGAACAACCTATTTAATAATAATCTGTATCGCATTCCTTAACAGTAAACACAGCAACTGGAGGCACCACATAAAGCAGTCGAAAACTTTCTCATTACTTCAAGACAGAAATAAACTAATGTAAACCTGACAAAATCGGACATGTACGAGAACTGATTACCGAAGGTAAGTAGAAGAAACCCAGAGGATAACGTAGCTTATCAATGAAGTAGTCACTTCCAAGCTTCTTGGCCCTTTGAGTATAGGCGGCACCACAGAGACCATCAAAAAAGTCCCCAGAAGCCATGAAAAAGCAAAACTTCCAG